GGCCCCACTAACACCTCTTCCAGCAGCAACCTTAGTTTTTCCCAGGAGGTCTCCCATCCAGGTACTGACCAGGCTCACACCTGCTTAGCTACAGTGGGTTACCAGTTGTGAGTTGCAGGGTGATATGGCTGCTGGATTTAAAGTGGCAGTGTGTCACAAGAATGAACATGGTGTATGAACTAAACAGTTTTTGCATACATTGACAATGTTTCCTGGTAATAAAGTAGTTGCCATTAAACAGGGGTTTCATGAAATAGCAGGTTATATTCTTATATACTGTATAGTTCTATTCACTGTACATGTAACCTCTGTTCCACTTACTGTAGCTATGTATTTTTCAAACATTTTCTTGCAGCATTTCCTAATGTAATATGTGTTCTGGACTGCAAAGAGATCCTCATTAAAGCCCTCTCAGGGTAAAACAAAGCTGATTTTGTTAAAATAAATTCAATTTACAGTATCAATGTACAAGTAAAAAATAAAATTCTAGACTTACAAATATGAACATCAATTACTCAAAAAAACAATAAAAACCATCAATCATTGTCTTTAATAGGAGTTTTTAAATATGTCCTATAAACTTGAGCAATATATTGAACAAAAACAACCACCTTATCATTAATCTTAAGTACAATGTGTCGTGAAAAACATTCTGTTCCAAGAGTGTACATTTCAGGTCTATTTAATGGATTTCTTGAATTAGTTAGATTAGGTGGATTAGTTACACCTTCACTTTATCAGCTGTTGTAAAGACAAGAACACACATTGAGATAACATTTGGGGGTTTGACTGTATCCCCGGACAGGGCATGTGACATCATTGTCACATGTGCTGTGCTACATAACATTTACACTCTTAGGAAGGAGAGAGTTCCGCCCCATCACCCATACCCTGTGATGACCCTTCTCTCATTCCTCTGGATTAACAGCATGACAGCAAAGAGAGAGCCATCATAGCTAGACATCATTCTTGTTAAATGATGACCAGTTTTTTTAAGGTATTTATATTTCATATATAATGTACTGTAATTATAATATATAGAGATATAATATTTAATTAATTCTAATTCTTATTTCTATTTTTTCCAATTTTATTTTTTAGGATTAATTTTAATTAATTCTAATTTTGATTCTAAGTTTTATTTAGGTTATTTTTTTCCAATTATAATTAGGTCACATTTTTAGCTGGCTTAAGATTTTCTGCAACTTTCGGGGAAAGGATCTAAAACAATTGTTGATGATGATGATTCCTCCTCCAGCCTTTTGCTTCTCACACTTTTTCTTGTTGGCTAAAATTAGGTACATTTCATTCTACAGGGGAACTACTGTACGTACCACTTGATGATATTCAAGTGATATTCTTATAGTTTGTCTTGAGTTCCTCACATTGTGCCAAAACTACATACATAAATGATTGCAATTATTGTTGCATGGAAACAATATTATACAACACAAAATGGCTTAAGAGTAACTCCACTTCATTGCCAATATAAGTAATACCATTACATACATACTTACACAATTGTTTGATTGTGATAGTTTTGTCATATGTTAAGATATTTCAGAGCATTCCATAATTAACATTTGCATTCAATTTATCAATGATTCTCTGCCAGACATCTTCTCTGTATTTGCAGCAACTATGGTATTATGCCCCATCATTAGAACAGATTTTATCTCCTCATAGTTTTACATAAGAAGCTATAATTCGTGGACACTGTTTTAAGACGCATGCACTTTCACAGAGAGTTTGTTGGCTCACATAAAGGATTCAATGCTCAATCCTTCTGCCTTCTAAAGTGTGGCGCTAATATACTGTTAGTCCAATTGTTTAAGCCTGATTTGGTTTAACTGTACAACTGAAACAGTAGCCGTCGTGAAGAGCAAGCCTGAAGTCACTTATCAAGTTAATTCAATCTGGCTTACTTGAGAAATTCTGAACTCATTAAACCTGCTTCGTGAAACTGCCCCCAGGTCTCAAAATGTGATCAACATAATGCTGTCCTTATATCATTATGCTGCCACCAGCAAAAATGTTTTTTTTTTTCCTGAAACCCTATCTCAGCAGAATGTTTTCTCTTGTCTTCATATCCTCTGCACACTTAAATAAAAAATAGAATTGGAATTCAAACAACAACTGTATACTTGGCCAATATCAAGGGTGCTGCCAAAATGTTGATGCTGCGATTTCAGCCATGGATCTCAGTAATATAGATCTAATATTTAGTTTTCCGAATGGCTTAATAGGCACTTAATGACTGCAATTGACTACAAATGGGTTGTACTTTGGTTCTAGACTCTGTATTTTAAAAAAATGTCAATACATTTTCCCATACTGTATGTCCACTAGTCGTTGTTTCACAGCAGATTCTGATTCAAAAATTGAGGGTAACTCTTGCACTGTGTGGAATAAACATGCAGAAAATTGAACTTATCAGTAAATGTATCCAAAATGTTTTTTTTTTAATATTGTTAATTAGCAATTAAAGTTGTACTTTTTGAATTACTTAAAATCTACTGGCAATGGGATTGGCAAAATAAAAAGACTTTAAGGTTCTATGAAGCAGAACATATATATATATACTGTACATTTCCTTCTATGTGAATATGGGTTCTAGCTTTAATAGTTACAGAATATGTAATTATTTTTAAATTCTTGTATTTTTGTCTTATTAGGTGCTCAATATGTAACATGCCGGGTTCAGGAATGTTCTGAACCAAACAGACACCATCCTTTCCCAAGCTACATTGACACAAATTCCCTTGTCGTTCAGGATGACTATGTCTTCATTCAGGTACTGAATTTCATTTAGCTGGTGCTTAATAAACATGTACTGTACAGTATTTGCGTATACTTTACGTATATCGCATCTCAGTTTTCCAGACTTCCAGATTTAATTATTGGCAAGAATGTTTGATATCAAATTTTTATCTCTGATTTATCGATTTTCACCACTTGCTCTATAGCATAAATATTTGATAGTTTTCCTGCAAATAATTTATTTTATTTTATTTTATTTCAAGATAAACTGTAACATATACAAATACAAAGACAAGAAAGCTGTCTCTTTGAAGTGATACTGTACAGAAAAAGCTGAAAAGCAAACTGCCAAAGCACCAAAGCAGCCATAATGAAGCTCTAATTGATATCCTTAACTTACTATTAGCAACTTACTGTCTGGGCACTTTCTTTTCAGAGCTTATGGTGCATGTCCATACTGCAGAAATCCCTTCTTAATATTGAACCAAGAAATTGATTTGTAAATGTGAGTAAAACACAATGGGATTAAGCTTAGTAGCTTTCACATTTTCTGTAATTAATGACTCAACTACAGGTTATCAATTTGAGTGTTGTCTTTAGTTCTGTCGCTATAAAGGAAAGAACTATAAGGAATAAAAGAGGTGATTTTTTCAGGTCTTTGTTTTAGAAACACTGATTTTATGTGTTCATCTTTTCTATTTCCACCTCCAACTTACAGAGAAAAGTTCATTCTTCAGTTAAATGAACATTCTGAAAACATAAAAACAATATCAAATGAACACCCAGGCTAGTACAGGTACAGTATACCAGGATCTTTGTCTAGTTTCATATCTATAGATGAAACATTTGAAACAATTCCTGGAAGGGCAAGCTTTTTCATTCGGATGATTCTGAAATTGTATCACATCACTTTTCATTCTCTTTCAGCAAGAATACTTCTTTCATAAAATACTGTGAACATCTATTTTAAGATCCTATTTTGACCCAAAACTATTATACCAATGTATTTCTCAAAAAAGTAATTGTAATGCAAATTGAACATCTACAGTAGCCCAGCAGCGAAAAAGAGTCCTCTTTAGGACCGACAGGTGGTTTACCGTGTGCCTGTCTCATGTGCTGACTCATTGAGGACCCAAAAGCTTACAGTTCTGAGCTCCAATAAGCCTTTCCTAGAAAACAGACCACAACCCCATTTTGATTTGCAGCAATTCAAGACCTCCTGGTTTTATCACATTGGGTCACACATGATAGATTATAGAAAGAAAAATCGATCATCCCAATTTACTTTTTTAAGCTCAGCCATCTCTGGTTGGTATTGATTTTTATCTTCTGCACTTCATCGCACACAGGACTACTGTGGAGGACATTCTGCCATTAGCAAACTCTTCTCCACCCTTCTCTGTTAAGGACCAGTGCGTTAACAGTACACTGGGAAAAAAGACTAATTGTTTCGGACGTTTAATAATGAACCTCTTTTATTTGCATGTTTTTAAGCCAGCAGCTTGTTTTGTTCACATTTAAATAAGGGAGGAAATGAAGGAAAATAAATTAAATGTGTCCCCGCTGTTAATTAGAAGTCACTGCCTTTTGTGTGAGTAGATGATAGTTTTATTGCGCTGACTTGGGAGGAAGTGACAGGTTAGAATTCTGTGCAGGGCTATCTCCAGCATTTACAAACAGGCCCACATGTTTGTGAGGCACCACGTCAATAAGGATGACTTTCTTCAGGGGAGAGTGGGCACGTTTGGTGGAGTTAAAAGATTTCACTTGACAAAGTATAATGAGGGTATTGATTCTACAGTGTACAAGAAATTTCCCACAGTCTTACTCTTAATGCAAAGAGGATGTACTGTATCACTGAAAACAGCATACCTATAGAATTGTAAATGTTTAATAATACATCTTTCAATAACTAGTAGATAAATTCCTAATATAACCTATTGCTGAATACTTTAAGTTGAAATTTAGCATGTGATCTACAGATAATTAAGTTGATGATCAAGCTTTGAAGTTAGGATAGAGGTATTTTAGCAGATTGGGAAGTCTTTCTGTTTGTTTAATTTTTATTTTAACAGTTTAATTTTTAAACTGTTAGCCTAGTGATGCTACATTGTTGGTCACTTTATTGTCTGATTAAACTTTATTTTTCCTAGCTCAAAACCTGGTTAATCTGAGCCATTGAGTATAGATGATGGGTTTTTTTTTAATCTGTCACAGGCTTTATCTTTATTGCTTTGTTACTGATTCAAGTACAGTATGAACAAAGTGACAGCTTTTCAGGGTCACATCACATGGACAGGTCTTGGAATTTCGTTTTCAAACACAGCAGGAAACAGACAAGAAAGTGAACTGTATTTTTTATTTTCAGGTTACAACAGCAGGTCGGGCCAGTTACTATGTATCCTATCGACGAGAGCCATTTGCGCGCATCAAGCTACCAAAATACTCACTACCAAAAGTAAGAGAAATAAAACGTACATTCCACTGGATATTGTTAAAATTGTTGCTTTAATCTGTGTGTGCACATTTACTGTTTACAAATTATTTGATTTGTGAGAAATAACGTGCAGGCAAAGGTCAATTGCTTTTCTATTTTAATTTCAGAGGCTTTATCTTTCAAGTTCATATACTGTACATCTATATACAGTATACATATATACATATAATGTCTGTGTCAAATGTCATCCCAGATGATCCTAGATTTGAAAAAAAAAATACTGCCAATCAAAGGACTAAAAAATATGTAGAAAAAATATTTTTTCTATTGTCAATTATTGTTGTCTCTATAGTAACAGGTTCTTATTGTGATTAGAAAATAAGTGTTTCTGTACCATCACAGAGTTAAATATTATGAGAATGAACATGAAAACAGCATCTCTATACTTGGAGATAGGAAAGGAGATCCTGAAAGGAGATGTCAACTGAATATTTGGCTAAAATCCCTAATGATAGTTAGCTTTTTTTTGCCAGGTTCACATACTGTACATGGATAGTAAGAAGTTACATTGCATTCAAACAATTAGTATTTTAATCTCTTTTCGTTAATCTTTACTTCGAGATAAACTCTCTTTGAGCTATGAAAATGACTCACGGTGAATAATATTAGTATTAATCTAAGAACATTCTGAAATAATTATTTACTATGGGTAAAATTATCAGTTTCTGCTGTACTTTGTGATTGCTTGAGGCAAAACAACAGAATCAAGATGATGGAAAATCAATGTTGTGAGACCCTTCACATAAAGAAGAAATTAATGCAATGCAATGCAATGTGCAATGCTGCACATGGACATTCTCTTCAAAATAATTTAAATTAATTAAACTGACATCTTAAATTGATATCTGCCACTAAAGTATTAGAATATTAATTAACACTTGTATTGCCATTTGAACCGTTGACACTGAATAGCCTGTTGTCTGTATTGTTTTTCCATTGGGAGATTAATTAAAAGTGAGAATAGATACTGTATGCAGTATGCTCATTTTCCATGTTCAAGGAGAAAACCAAATCTTTTTATTGTCGAGAGAGTTAATTACTGGTTGATAGAAAGCAGGGACACTACCAAGGCAACTAATCTGAGACGTTTTTTAACATGAATGATAGCAAAAGATGTGCATTTGCTATCGTTCACATTTTTGTGCATTATCTTATGCAACTGAAGACAAAAATTGGTGGAAAAGAATCTTAGTAAAACTAAGTAGATGGTCATTGGATTAAGTTGATTAAGTCGACAAGTTTTATTACTGAAATAAATAAAACATTGAATGCTTTTGGCAACACCTAAATAATTGAAGACTATAATGTAGTAACAAATTGAAAATTTTAAACTTATTGGTAATAAAGTTTCTTCAAACACTGATAGTCACATTAACTGATAAGAAGTAATGATGATGATGATGAACATCATAACTTACTATTATGAAAAGTTCCTTTTCCTTGTCACGTTTAATTATAGAATAAGTAACAAAATAGATTCCTTTGCTGAATCTGAAGTGCTTTACCTCGTATTTGGTTTTCCTACAATGTGTGATTATCAGTGAAGATAATGTGGTATAAACTGTTGAAAGGATTGCTGTTCATGCAGGAATGTTATCAGAAAAAATCAATACCAGAATGCAGTATAAAGTTATGTTTGCTCTGTGATAGTGTGCTGTTGCCCAGGACATGGTGTATTAAGACTCAATTAGGAGTCTGGACTGCAGTTTTACCTAGCAGTGCAGACAGGATTTCTCTTCAAACTGGCTCAGAGATAACAAGTTCCCTTTGACAGGACATGCACATCATCAGTACAGATGAGAATCAGGTGTTTGCAGCTGTGCAAGAGTGGAATCAGAATGACACATACAACCTTTACATATCGGAGACTCGAGGGATCTATTTCACGCTCGCCCTGGAGAATGTGAAAACCAGCAGGGGGATAGAAGGAAACATCATGATCGACCTCTATGAGGTATGTGTCCATGGTCATGCAGTCTTATGTGATACTAAGGGTCAGATGGAATGTAAACCCCCACTGTTTATAAATGTATACACATTTATTTCAGTTTTCACATAATGACTCTGTTATATTTAGCTTGGTGGAAAGAGAGGCAAATGCAGTTTTATTTGTATCAGCCATGTTTATTGGATATTCTTAACTCATGAGCTTTTAAATGCTTGAAACAATTTAATTGTGATCACTGAAACAAGAGGCTTGCATAAAATCAAGTACTGTGTTTAATTACAGGAATGATCTGGACATTTTTCACTTAAATTCAACTATTGACTTGCTATATTTATCAAAATCCTCATGGTCATGGTCCAGTTCATTATAAAACGTATCATTTAACTGACCATTAAAAGCTGCTGGATTATGGGTTTTAAGAACCTGGGATGGCCAACCCTCATCTACTGTACTATATATTAATCAAACAAAATTCTGGGTGATACAGATACAGTACTTTAAAGATTTTTTTCAAGATATAACTTATACCTTGTAAAATACAACTAAGATTGAGGTACAGTTATATTAAAAATTCTGCATTGATGTAGACCATAAAGGTTATATCAAGAGGTACCTCAATTTTTGATTCTTTGCGGCTACAAATATCATAGTTTTATCTCTGATTTTCTACGTGTCAGTAGTTTTATTTGTTTTATAACTTATGTAAAGGAAAGTGCATGGTAATTAATCAAACTTCCACAGCTTTTAAACTATTTATTAAAAAGGAAATTTGATATCAAGGAAAAATCAATGAACTACAACCCTGTATGTGCTCCTGTGACAGCAAATGAGATACAAACCTAGAGAACCAATCCATAAAAGCTTCAGATTCAACATGAAAAACAACAAAAATATTATTCCAATGATTCAACTCAAAATGCCAATGCAACAATGCAAAGTTGTGCTAAGAAAAATAAATGGCAGTGAGTAAATTCTGTCAGATTGTAAATACTTTCCATATTGATTGAGATTTAATTAAAAAGTCTACTGTATTTTCAGAACTTTACAGCCCATTAAACTTTCTTGAATTCATTCAGATAGCCATTCGGTGACTGAAACATTTTCCTTGTTACTGAATTTACTCTTTGCTCTACAGACTTTTTGAATGTGCTTCTTACAATTATGAGCATTTTCTTCAGTCCAGCTGTTTGATTTTCTTTTGTCCCCCAAATCAAAGACACCAAGTTGGTTTTTATTTCATTACATTGATCATTAAAATGGCCACATAGGGACTACACTGAAATTAAAATATACAGTATCCTACTTTGCTCTCCAGTCAGTTGTTTATTCATTGTATAATAATTGTTTAAAAAAAACAAATGTCTGAAATCTGCTAATTAATTAATAATTGCTAAGGTGATAAACATTATCAGTGCAAGCTTCTTTCAAACATGCCTTTCAGTGGTCCTTATATTGTAATGATATGGACTGTGTGTACAAATTCAAAATCTATCTTTTTTAGGATTTAATATTTATGGGAATGTTAATTAATTGTATTGTTGACAACATTTTGATGACGTAACACTGTTCCTTGTAATACACTGCATATATATGTAATTAAACATACTGTACATATAAATATAATATACTGTATGTACTTGAACTCATATACAGTTGTATGCATCTGTGATTTAATGTCTCATTAATTTCAATATTGAATTTGAATTTAAAACTAATTTGATCTCCATGATTCAGTTCTAGTTTTCTTCATCCGCCAGCAACAAAAGAAAATTAGAGTCTGAGCAATGCAACTTCTTGCTTTTGTTATTTCAGCAGTATAGATACTGTGCGTAATTCACATTCTATTACATTTTTTAAATATTACGTTTTCTCCTTTTTTAATTGGAATTATTAATCATTGAATAGCATGTTCTATAATATTAAACAGCTGTGACAGGGTAGGAAATCAAATGATAATTCATTATCTTTTTGAGAATTATTTAAGTGACCATTTCATTTGATATTATGTTTGTACTGTAAAGTTCTAAATTACTAAATCATTTAGTAGTTTTCTTGAGTTGCAGAGCATTGGAGAGGAGTATTGAGTTGCGGCTCAATTTAAGATCATTTTGTAATGGACACTACAAACTGTTTTTTGACTTGCTCATATCAACAACAGATTGACATATATTACTGATAGGTACAGTATCTTTATACTGAGAGCAGATGATAATACAAAAAATACTAACTTATTAAAAAAATATACTGTAGTATAACTAGAACCAAATTTTAGTTTATTCAAGAATAACTAGCAATTTGCCCTTGAAGACTTAACATAGCAAATACAGAATGTCAGATGTGTTTATTGAAACTGCAGTGATTTGGGATTTCTTGGATAAAGGCATATTGTACCTGCGGTTTCCGGATGTCATTGTTTCCAATTTCAACATTATCCCCGTGTTAAGCTGCTACAAAAAACAATGTCCTTTTATAATAAATATTTATATTCCTGAATGACGGCTCTGGTCAGCCAAATGGATGTTTCATTAACTGTGTCTGTCCAATGCATAGCTTTCCCACAACACTGTCAGATGTGATGCCCATTAGTGCCACTTACTTTGGAGCTTTTGGAAAGGAGTGTGCCTGGCCACTCCTAAAACAATAGGATCTGATTTCATACAGGTCTTGAGGTCTCCCAATTACCATCAGATGCAAATTCGATTTGACTTGAGATATGCAGCCTGCATGGAAAAGACACTTTTTAAATTAGTGTTGTTTTGGTTGTTATTCTAGTTGTTCTGCTGATACAAAAACCGGCAGTGAAGTTAAAAAGGTCATAAGCATTTTTAAGGTGACACCGAATGTCTTGCGTAATTTCTTTCCAACCACCTTTTTTGTTTAGCTTTTTCCATTTTTCCTAGGTAGCAGGGATAAAAGGAATGTTCATAGCCAACAGGAAGCTTGAGAACCAAGTGAAGACCTACATCACGTACAACAAAGGCAGAGATTGGCGTTTACTGCAGGCACCTGCCACAGACATGGGAGGCAATGACATCCATTGTGTTCTAGTAGGTGACTTTTCCAAACTTCCTGTAATTTCCAGAAACTACTTGTTTTTGTAACATCATTAAAGAATGGAGTCTCGGACATGGGAAATTTGGTACATTTTGTACTATATCCCTGTTCATTGTGCTGGCAAATTCAAAGAAATATGAGTGGAAAGCAATGCCTAAAAAAGGATTGTTTTTGTAACTCATCAATAGACACAATCTCTTCTCAGAAATGCAGCTTATTTTCCAGTTGATACCATCAAGTCTTCAAGTTTTCAAAGTAATTTTGATTTGGCTTATATGCATTACACAGGAAAGCATTTCAGACAACTGTGATATCAGGTAGCTTTGTTTTAGGTGTTCTGTGATGAAAGCATTATAACATTTAGATATTTATAAAAGTTACCATGACCAGTTACAACTAAGCCCTAATTTATTTTTAGCGTGTTACAAAAATCAAACCTTGTATTTTTATTGTGCCTAAAAGTCCACAAATAAAGAAAAAGGTATCAATTGCCAAGTATTAATATAAACCAAACAAGCATGGTACAATACATTATTTTACATTAAGTAAGAGTAATAATAGAGTAGTGCAAAAACAGAATGACATATTTCAAGTGCATATAATATAAAGCAAAGATACCAAATGAGTGAAAAAAATAATCTGAATACATCAGAATTTTGAACATACTGTACTCAAATTTAAAAAGTCTTCTAAAATATAATAAAAGGCACTCAAGATGTACCATGGTACACAGTGTGGAGTATTATTGTACCGCTAATGAGAGATTGCAAGTTGCAAGCTTGATCTAAAAATGCATTCTGAAAAGACATATGGAGAATCTCAGATGTGATCAGAAATAGTGCAGTCTTGATGTCCTAATATCTGGTACAACCACAGAGGACTTAATCGTGAAGAAGATATTGAAGGATGAATGGATGGAAGCAGTGTAGTTGAGGTCTTTGAAATCATGACTAGAAAATGTAAACATACGTACATATTTGTACATATGTACATTTTTAGAGAAATATGTTAGTTATTAATTTGTTTTCTTGCTTTGATTAATAAGAAGTTTATCAGTGCCATGTATCTTTTACATTCTCTTTGGTTTTTGCATCACTAAATCGTAACTTGATTCATTTCTGTAAACCAATGCTTTTGATTATCTTATATTTAATTTTTTATTATTATAGTCTAATGTATTAGTTCTTGTGTTTTAAATATTTGGCTGGCATTAGTGGATCATTTTGAGGAAAATGCAGAGCTTGAGAAAACCTTTCTGCCTGTTTTGCTGTAGATTCCATAAATAAATGTAAAATACAATGCTAAGGAGAGTAAATCTTTTAAAAAGAAAGTTCCTAATTAACAGCTCAGCTCTTGATCCAACCTATTCACTAAGATTGCTTTTGAGTGCTTTCCAGCCTTTCTCTTGTTCACTGTGCCCTTTTAAAAGCTTTTCATTGATATTGTATGGGATGGATGACAATTAGAGAAATAATTTAGAATGGTTAGTCATTGAATAAATGCAGGTAAGGACACAACTGAAGCTTGGGAAAAAGGGTTAAAGGCTGAGTTTAATAGTACATTTACATGACATTTTAATTGCACGCATATTTTTTCTTCTATTAAATTGAAAAGTTCAGGACTGTTGTCCTTGATGTCCTTACCAAAAAACTCATGCAGTCATTTGAAAAGATGAAGGGAAACATCCCCTATTTCTCATCTCAGGAGAGACATAATTGTTTTTTGAAGGTGTTCTCTGGCCTGGGAGAGCCAATTTGGTGCTTTTATGTTAAATTCAATAACTCCTGTTTTAATGACAGATAAAAGGCAATTGATTATACTGTTGATACCACGATAGCCTTATCACATGATAGAAGGAGATAAATACACAGTATCCTTCATGCATGTACTGTATTTGTCTACAGTAGAGCTCTTTTGAAATACACTGTATGCAAATTTAAGAGTAATGTCGGCTGCTCAACTGTGTATGTCACAGAGAGCATCATTTGGTTTTTTGTTATTGGAATCTAGAACAGAATACTGACCTGCCTCCTATCGTTGATTCTCCTACATTGGATTCTTGTACTCTTTTTGGTAAATCATTTTTTATCCCTAGAGCAGATCTACAGTACTTCCAAGGCAGGTTTGACTTTGACACAGTTCTCTTTCAAAAGTTACAGATACTTTAAATATGAGGAACAAGTGAAGGTTAAGTCCATGCTAAAAAGTAGAAAAAAGTATGAACACATTTCAGCTGTCGAGCCTTTTTCAGGTGTGATGCTGGCACAGCTCCCACTTGGACTAGTTGAAGAATTATAAAAACCAGAAGAGGAAATGTGTCCAGTGCCTGTAATGTTGTGCTTTATTTCTAGTCATCCCTGGAAAAGTAAACTGCAACTGAATGACAAAATGCCACCCTGCCTTGAATGCAATCCTGTCGTTATATACAGTATGACCTTTATTAAATAAATATGTGAATAATGTTTTCTTATATTTGTGCTCCTTATATCAATTTAATTTTTTACTTCTGTTTGTTTCCTTAGCCATTTTGTTCCCTACATCTGCATTTGCAGATTTCTGAAAATCCCTATACTTCTGGAAGTATCTCAAGCAAAAGCTCAGCTCCAGGAATCATAGTGGCTACAGGTAAGGTACATGTGCACTGCTCTCTGCTTGCAAGGTTTGCATAAAATTACGCACTTTTATTTATACACTTATATCTTTCCCTGTACAAAAATACATAATAATCTGAGTGAATCCCACATCATTATACATCATTCTATTCTCACATGAATAAAACATGACTAAATGATTACAAAGCTATCTACTAAAAATGCATAGGTAATTTTGTAAGGTACAGGTAGGTGTATCAATGATAACTTACAGTAGGTTATGTCAGGTCTAGTCTGGGCGCTTATACTGAAAATGGAGAAACAGTTTTTCAGTTATCTAATGTCTGTCCAAATTGTATGAATTTATGCAGTGGTACTGTAGGAGATGTACAGTAGCTTTTGTTTTGTTGTTCATATAGGGAAAAGACAGCAATTGTATTATTCCAAAATGTGCAAGACATCAAGTGAAAAGCATATAAGGGCTCTCACAACTACAGTATGTTGTTTTTGGAATATGTTTACCACTCTAAAACCACAACTTCAATAGACTTTATTATGTAATGTGGCACTGCTGTCACCAAAATACAAGTTAAAGTATAATTGGAAAACAAAATAAAAATTTATTTATCTCTACAATGTTTCTTATACTGTATGAAGCATTTTTTAGAAAACCTATTTATGATCAATGATTCACACATATTTAAACAACTCTCAGGTCAAGAGATAAAAATTAGATTTGTAAAATCTTTGTTATCTGGGATTTATCATGGACTATTAAGGAGTGATTAAACCTGTAGTAACTGACTAGTGCTAGACTGTATATTAATTGCATTTTGATTCTTCTTATCTACATAAGATCAATAAAAGCATAACGTACATATTTATAAAATGTCACTTCCTGCCCCTTAACCCACGAACAGTAAGATTTATGTTAACAATGTACAGGTACTGTGTATGGTCTGTAGTTATAATATATAAGTTTTAAAGTATTGAAAAATAACATTCCAAATTAAATTTTGCTCCAAAATTGTGCATTGCATTGACATTTTGTGCTCCTTGTATATTCATGGGCTACAGCAGTAACTGCTACAGGCACTGAAAAGACCTGGTCTGACGTGATGTTGACGTGATTTGAAGATGCTTTTGTGACAGGGGGGCTGATTTATTGAACAGCCCCAGTGTTGTTTAAGGCCAGATGACAAAGTGAATTATACAAGTATGTGGGTATCAACACACATACATACACAGGAAATACAGTAGTTGACATGTCTAACAGCCTTTACAGGGTCAGACAGTTTGGATTTGTCTCTTCAATGTTTCTTAGTGGTTGAAAAACAATGTTTGGATTGAAGGGATGATATAAAACGGGGACACGGGGAAATAAATAAGTATTAATGAAAAAGACCTGACATGAGCTTTGGTTTGTTGACATTTTAGGTTTATTCAATAATCTACTGAGATCAGCTTCACCTCTACAAATTCACACTATTTTATTTACATTTTTGTTTTTTTTCTCTCAATAAATCCATTGATATTACTCTACAATGTTGCACATAGTAAAAGGGATAAGCTCCAGAACCTGAGATAATTATATATTAATATCTTTGCACATCAAAACATTGATATATTTCCTATGCAGGTAATATTGGTGCTGAGCTTTCACACAAGAACATTGGAATGTTCATATCATCAGATGCTGGAAATAACTGGAGTCAGGTGAGATCTAAATGCCCATGAGATCACTATTTTACCCCACAATAATGCTTTATTATATTTGCAATTATATAATTAAATATAATCATATAATGTAGAGAATTCTAACTACTTTTTTCCCAAGGTCAGCTTTATAGTTATACTTAGCTCAAGGTTACATTTCCCTTGATAAATGCACAGACTGTCAGTGAACAATGCCTACTGTATCTATTTGGTGTATTATTTGCTAGTACTTAAGTATGTAGTAGTATTTCATATGCTAACTGAAAAATGAAGCGTCAATTTTTTGGAGTGGATTGCTCTTTTGCAGAGCAACTTTAAAGTCTTGCCTTTACTTAAAAATTCCATTGATACAAATATGGATAAAGCACGGCTCTCCTTTTTTATTCCTCTCTCATGATAGATTTTAATAAGACACCATTAGTGATATTCTAGCAATAGTATACTGTATGAGGAGCAAGGGGGGATTTTCCTACTAAACAAAAGAGTGCAGAAAAATATTACCCATTTTAAGCTAAATCTGTCAAGTGCTCCAAATTACTTGAAGCCAAGATACTGCAGAATTACAAACACATCCTCAGGGACTGCTTTAAAATGAACCCTGGACAGTTTCTATTAACGCACTGTACATACAGTAAAAAATAATAATATGACATTTTCCTGAAGCAATTACAAATTCTTTGAGTCAGCTTAAGCAGGAATCTTTTCAAATTCCTGTAAACTTTTAAAGACATCAGATTGCATTTTTTAAGTAATGTGATTATTATTTTCTTTAAAAAATCCCTGTAGTGTTTATTGTACAAAAAAATATGTATTTTGCTTCTTGGTTTTGCATTTTAAACAGCTATAACTCTAATAGTAGTGTTTTTGTTGTTGTTGTTGTTTATTTTTTTCATGTTGTAAGCTGAAATAGTTTACCTGCACAAACGTCATATGTGTTTTACTTTTGATTGCTTCTTATGGAAATAAATTCTTCTGTCACTGTAACATTAATAGACTACTTTGTCCTACCCCCTCTGGTATAAATTAATTAAATCCATGCTGAAATCTTATGAACTGTAAATAAAACAGTACTCCCAATATCTGTAAAATATATTTTTTTAAATAGTTAACAATTGTATTCATGTAGATGACTTGTAGCTATTATTTAAAAGTACGTAGTGAAAAAAAAACATAATTAATTTGCCATCCTTAGCTTGTTTTGTGCTATCCTTATTGTGTACCAACATGCAGTTAGTAAGATTGTGGTGCCTCAGTGATGAATGTATTTGCCATTTTTTTTTAATAAAACATCTTGTTCTATATCAGGATTTTCTGATGATAGTGTATGTTTTATTTTGAAGGGATTAAAAGAAATGTGTACAGGGCAAAACATTCCTTGTCTTATCAGAATTGTGCACCACGTGGTTTCACTGCACATTCTATCGTGTATGTGGGTGATTTGCACCTGTGCTTCTGTTTTCTCTCAGATTTTTGAGGAAGAGTACAGTATCTGGTTTCTGGACAAGGGCGGTGCTCTGGTGGCTATCAAACAAGCAACAGCACCTATCAGACATTTGTGGTAAGGCCAAAGCACTCTAGAATAATGTACAATTATTAAAATGTAAATACTATTATCTAAAACGGAGGCAAAATAATTACATTTTAATTTAGATTTTTAAAAGTGTACACCACTAGAATTTAATATAGTGATGTTGATTTCCCCTATAAACCCTGACAATTTAAAATGTTCTGAAACTTAATTGAACTGTGGAAATGTGCCATTTAGATGTATTTGACAAAAATCCTTTTAAATTTATTTCAGTAAGCAACATACATTAGCCTAATAGGCTCAAGAGTTTACTGCTTATTAAAGCATCTGGAAATGGGTAACAAGATGGGTACAATACACATCACCCTTTCTGATGCATGTTTGAGAATAATGAAATGAACTATGTCTGTTTTATTTTCAAATGGTGCCTTGTGTTGTGATGTACACGTGGAATTTAGAATGAGTGGTGTGCCTATGTTGATCTTTATGAACAGACTAATAATGTAAATGATTTTAAAATATGTCTGAAAAAATGCAGGGACATTTTAAAAGTATTGCGTCAGTACTGCCCAGAGGAGAAAGTGTAGAGTTCATTGAACACTTGTTCTTGTTTCCTGAATTTTTTGTGGCAGAATTTACAACTTCAACTTTGTGGGAGTGAATCCACAATAGTGAGCTAGCAGCATGCTTTACACTTCAAATTTTTAGTTCACTGTTAATCTAATGCCGAAGTTCCAGCTAGAGTACTGTATCTGAAGAAAAATGACCAAGTCTTTTTGTAGAATATATTGCATCAAACATTTCCAGTCCAGCATACTGTTAAAGGATGCATGTCAAAGTTTTGTGTGTTGTCAGTTTTCACAATGCTTTTAGGTTGATGAAGGAGAATGCAGGTTTGAAGTAACAAGGGGGTTTTTCTGTCCTAGTAAGGATTTTATGTTGCTTCACTGATGTTACACAGGCACTTCAAGGTATGTACTTTTGAAGTACCCCTGATGAGCTGTCACAATCAATCAAGGCAAGGGTTTAGGATGAAAGTTAAAAGTCTTATATTTTGTTTGATTTTTTTTAGGTATCCAATCATGAAACATTATTTCTCTTTGTTGACTAAACTGCATGCACATCATATTTACGGTATAGTTTATTCAGTTTGGTCAACATTTTATCCTGTTTAATCTTCATGCTGTTGCATATATATTTATATAAAAAAATTAGTTTATTGCTTCTACTTAAGTTGTGTATTTCTAATAAAATGTTTCAATATTATGTAGTTCCATTCTGTATAGGCTTCACAAAAGAAGTGATCCAAGGAAGTGTATATAATTTACACCGTAATGCTGAAATGATGAGCAATAGGACACAGAACAACATTTTTCCCCTATGACTTTTACAGTGTATGTACAGCTTTTTCAGGTGGTATTTTTTGCCACACTAAGTACACAAAAAGATGGACCTTAATATACACAAAGCATGAGGAATTAAGAAAATGAAAAAACCTATAAATTATTAAATTATTAACACACTAGCAGAGGGTTAAACAACTGAAACATTGTTTTTACCTCTTTCTAAATTCCAGCATGTAATTAACTTGTAAAACTTACAATGTGTTTACTCTTAGATTGGTAATGGTTGATAGGTATTTTGTCTGTGAACCTGAGAATTCCTGACATCTTACAATTATACTACACCAGGCTGTTTTCTTGAATCAAGCAGATGCATGCAACTGAAGAATTCATCTGTACATATTATTCCTTATTTCAGAAATGTATATCTCTGACACCTCCAGTAATTAAAATGAACCCACTATGTTTATTTTTTGCTTCTTGTTAGCAAAGTTTTTTTTTATGTGTCAAACAGGATAAGTTTTGATGAAGGGAAACAGTGGAGCAGATACAGTTTCACCCTGGCGCCTTTGTTTGTCGATGGAGTGTTGGTAGAGCCTGGGACAGAAAGTCAGATAATGACGTAGGTGGAAATGGTTCTGATGCTTCTTTGCCTTCTGAACTACTGTAGGTCTTCTTGGTGTTAAATTATTTGAAATTGCTTTTACTTAACCTCCTCTATTTCACTAGACTGTGATGTATACAACGAAGGCCATTCTTTAAGACACAAATCTGCAATCACAAATTGATTCGTAAGGACTTTCAGTTTTTACGCCAATTGAATACGCTATGAGACAGAATGATAACAACTAGACAATCATTATTTATACTGGTAAATAAGTTAGTGGAACCTTGAGAAAAATGCTAAGCACCACAGAATTGCTCTAATAGTTCCCCTTGATATATTACTTCACTTGCTGTCGCTGTAATTATTTCAACTGTCAGTATGTTAAACTATAATAAAAACAATTTAATCTGCTGGTCACAAACCATTACCAGTACAGTGAATATCAATAAATCCCAGAAAAAGACAATACATTCTAAAATATATAAGATAATATAATTTGGTCACTGTGACAGAAGGTGAAGTGGATCTGCTGTTTTGTTTCAAAGGAAGCTGTCACTTGAAAAACTACAAACAGTACAGCTGACTGTAAGCATTGCACAAAATTAAAAAAAGTGATATTTTATTGAAATGCATAAACTTGATTTTAAAAGACTTGTAATAGTTTCTGGATAACATGTAGACTAAAACAGTTTAAAAGATTATTTGTAATGATTGATAAATGTTACAAACCTACTGAAGTAAACAAAAGGTAATATTTTCTATATATTGATAGTGTTTTGAGATTGTATTATACCATAACCTGCCACTGCAAAACCTTAAATTAGATTCTTGAATTTATGACTATTGTTTTTATTTTTTCAAGGTTTTTTGGACACTTCAGCCATCGTTCTGAGTGGCAGCTTGTTAAAATAGATTACAAGTCCATCTTTACTAGGAAATGCACCGAAGGAGATTATCAGACATGGCACCTACACAATCAGGTAAAAATGAATAAGTAGGGCAATTACATAGAAAATATCTGTGAAATTTTGACATATTAATCCAACCTTTGGAATATTAGTGCACTTTAACAGTCGTCTGTTCAAGTGCTAGAGTAGAAGAAAGCTACAAGGTGGTAGGGATTAGAAACTGTTACAAAAAGAAATGAAAATAACATTTCTGATGCACTAGTACAGACCATTATCAATGAAGATGCTCTAACAAGACCTAATCAAAATAAACAGCACACAATGTTTTTTGTAAATCAGTCTCCAAGGCAAAATTGCCTTTGAAGCTGTTTTGGCTGTAAGAGGTTTGGAATATTTTTAAACTCCATGGCTTGTCATCTTAAGCCTCTAGGTAGACCCTAGATAAAGTCAATGTAGTCTTTGAATTTCTTGTTTTAAGTTGGGAAGGCTTAGAGAGCCTTAGCCCATCCTAAGAACCTTAATCAGAGTTAGATTCTTATTTGGTTCTGTTATGGGAACTATGTCAAAAGCAAAACATCCTCAGAGACTAAATTGATCGAGAAAAAAACAGTATGTGCTAAAACCATTTTTCTCTTTTAGTTATTAAATGTTTGTTGTTCCAAGTAGGGCATCAAACCATTCAGAATCCATTGCTTGGTCGTTTCCATCTGGCCCTGTCTCTTTGTGTAAAATTGTGTATCCAACTTCAATCCTGAAATTGCTGGATTTTTCTCTTGATTTCAATATATGGCTTTAGGGCTTAGTCTTTTGTCAAGATTGATTATAAAGTTATCAAAAATAAAGAAACAGAACTTTTGTGGACTTTTAAGATGTTAGCAGAGTAAGCCCTTAATGTGGACCAATTTACTTTTGCAGGGTGAACCTTGTGTTATGGGAGAAAAACAGATCTACATGAAGCGCAGACCAGGGAACCACTGCATGCTGGGAAAGGACTACTCCAGAATTCTGTCTGCTGAGCCTTGTATCTGTAGTGCCTCAGACTTTGAATGGTAAGAAAGTGTACTGTACAGATGCAGCCATTCAAAATGCACGGAGTACGCTGCAGTAAAATGCGGTAGGGATGGTGCATCATACCCCATTATACCACATGCAAACTAGATTATGATAATAGTATCCTGAAGCACTGTGAAAGACCGTGTAAAACCGCCAGCAGGAGCTAATAAACCTTAACGTCTCATGTACAGCATTTGAGCTGTCGCCAGAAAATGCCTGGTTTTGAATCTCGGCCACTGCTGAGGGACAATCTTTTTCCAATTAAGAATTTAAGTTTTACAGTATATCTAGAAAGAGAAGGTTATTACCATCATTAGGAAGATTTTCTTCTTTCAACAGCATCAGCATTTACAGTTTAAGGAATACCAAGAGCTTTCAGATGATACTTTAAGTGTGAGAAATGTTTGTGAATAGCACATGTTCAAATTCTGAACAGAAAATTCAGGGAAAGAAAAGAAATCTGTAAACTTCCCAGGTATCTCCTCTGTGGTGTTATAGCAACAAACATGATTTTCTTATACAGTCTAGACTCAAACTACCAAAGTCTGTAGGACATATCCTGTGCTGTATACCTTAACTGGTTGAGTCACATGGGAACACCACCCTGGTCTTTTTAAAATTTTCTATTATTACTGTTTAAAGCTTACAAGGTTTTATTTTATGTCAAAATAAACATTTTCATTTATTTTAGAAGCCATATGGCACCGATGTTTAATCTTGACTTCAGAAAGCAGGGAATAATGAGTTTTTGATCCAAATGTTTTTGAATTTGTCTATTACACTTAAAGAACTTTCTGATTTAATGACCTATTTGTTTTGTCAGTGTCTTGTTTAAATTCAACTAAACAGCACCTCAAAAGGTACTTTCTATGTAGCAAACTTGGATACAACTGAAAGCACTCTTCAATGCAGCTGTTCACTGAAAAATGTGCAAACCATTATGTGCGATATTGTCTAATGAAAAGAGTTAAAAGTCATTAAGATCTATAATGTTTTTATTTTTGCTCCTGAAGATTATGATGGACTTAAAAGCCAGGAAACTTCGAAACTACATTATCCAAAATTACTATTTGTAATATTTCTACACACTATTTCTAAATGGGGTTATTTTTCTGGTACATCATCCATATATCTTCTCTTGGATACTGTTAAATGGAAAACCATTGTAATCTCAGTTTAAGATGTGAAAAATCTCTCATTTGTAAAATATTGTAGGGTGTGCTGGCCGACATGTTCCATTCAAAATTGTTTATACATTTTTTATATGACAGTTTATGGCAATTCCTATTTTCTTCCTGGGGTCATATCTGCAATGACTGAATTCTAATAAGGAGTTGATGGAAAAAAGAAAGTCTTAAAAAATGTGAATATATTGGACCATTATGGTCTTCTTTACTCTGGAAGCAACACTGCTGGTATCGATTTTCTTCAGGCATGAATTGCAGAAGTATTATTAGAAGCTTATTTTTAAGGCTTATTTAAAATAAAATTGATTGAAGAGGAACCTTTGTCTCAGACATCATTGATGATCCAATAAGAAGAGAATTGTTCATGCTGAGAGCTTTGGAAATTTTGTACTGTACACCTTTTACAGGTGAATAATCCCATTGGAGGATAACTGCTTGTAATTGCAGATACCCTTACATCAATGGGCTCTTCTTCCAAAATATTTATCAGTGATTAAAATAGAATACTCTGTTCCTTCTTTTGTTTTTCACAGTTTAACAGACTGCAACGGAATTTGAAAAAAAAAAATCTAATTATGAAGTTACTGTACCTTTAAACAAAAGAGTATCATTAATTGAACTGTATTGTTATTATTATTATCTGGTAACTTGTCGTTTAGTTAGATTGTGACAAGAATTGTCATTCTATCTGGATGGCTAGTGCTGAGCTTAATGGTGCAACTATTAAAATGTGAACAACTACATGGACTCTTCAATTTAAATCATAAATGAGATAAGGTTGAAATATGTGATAGCAATGTTCACATAGTCATCAAGGATAAAGAAGATGCGACTATTGAGTAGTATCTTCTTTTTATTTTTTATATAGACGTTTTGGGGAAATGGGAACAACCAAGCCACTGGTTCACAACTTATAATTGCCTATTTATTTCACATTTTACCTCATGCATCCCTCCTTTACCTCATTTTGACTATTGGGGCTACCCCTTGATTAATTCCTCATTTTGTATTGGAGGAGTCTGGCCCTCAGTCAAGCAGGTTAAACTAACTGTCACTATACATTAAAGACATTAAACATCCTCAAATGCAACTAATACTTAGGTATCATCATTCCTCATGAGAACATGACAAGGAATTTCTTTTTCTTTTAAATGAGTGTTATGCATACCCTGTATGTTAAATTTCCATTTCTTCAATTTGTTTGTGATTGTGTAGAGTATTTTGAACTATTAATTTGCTTAACTGAGAAATGTAATCAAACTAAATTTAGTTGAATAAATGAATGAAAAATAAATCTCTTTCTACACACTGAAACTCACATAATTAGTTAAATGTTATGTTGAGGAAAGTTCTGCATGTGGAAAAAACATAACCAGAAGAAAGGAGGAGACAGCAGTTCCTAGATATTTTGTAATTGCTCCATGCCAGGTTTAATCATGCTGAGAGCATTAACTTCCCACAGAATTTCTATTTTGTATGCAAATATTCTGTTTTATGCTTCTCTTGGTTTAATGAACTTTCTGCCTCCCTCTGTGGACCCTAAGACATGACGACATTTAATCAGATCCACTGTGCAAAAACTGATGACCAAGTGGACTCCTTTCTTGCCCCACTTCTTAAGACATGACAAGAAAAAGGTGAAGAGGAAGGTTGTAAGCTCTGTTGGGTGTAGTGCCATTATAATTGGAAACAAAGTATCTGCAGGGAGTCAGAGCGTTCCTCCTAGAGAAAGCCTCTTCATTCACAATCTGGTGTACAATTTCAGTAATGGGTAGGAATGACCTCTGCCTCAGAAAAAAAAAATGTGTAGCCTTTTACTTTTTTTCCCGGCAATAAAAACCTGAAGAGCTCTGAATTCAAGGTCTCACCCCACATAATAATTAAAGCATTTGCCCAAAGGTTATCTTAATGCACAACTGTCCTTATTTGTTGTTTAGCTCTCAGTGCAAAATATCTTAAATGTATTATCCCTGTAGGGATTATTTTCTTCAGTTAATAATTACATTGGCAATTGTTTGTTTTTATTATTTTGCATTATGTTATTTTACAACAAATCATAGCATTACTAAAAAATGATTCCTTTATATATGGAGGGTATTGGTTCAAATATGCCACTCTGGTTTACATGCAAAATGCTGGTTGTATTATTGGTGACATTACATTGTAGGTGCTGCAAATGATACTTTAAAATTACATGATGAAAAAACTACTAAGAATGAATTAAGTATTTACAGTATACTGTATGTGAGAACATGCTACCTCATATTATGAACATGTAAGTAGTTACAAGGGGTCACTTACTAGCAGGGTTAACAACCTTCTATTAATATCTTGTCAATGTACCAACATTATAAAGATATACTAATGTAATTTACGTCTCCTATTCCAAAGAATTACTGGCATAGTTTGCCTTTCGAAGGGCTATTGGACTAGAGACTATCTTCCTTACCTCAAAAGTGTGCTAGATCTGGTAGCCAACTGTCAGCTGTGCTCCAATACTTCTGTGGCAAAGGCAATGTAACAGCTGTTACTTCTGAATGATGATATCAAAATATGGAGGTATGGAACAGCATGCCCCTTAATGGCCCAGTGAAAAGCAGTTGTTTGTTCATTAGTCTCAGTTGCTTATGTGGTTCTGAAGGTAGGGACTAAGTGGTTGACCTCATGTATGTTTTCACAATTTTGAAGTGCCTTCACACACCATTTGAGATGTGTGGGCTGGCCAGTATTGTCCATAATTCACTTGGGAGGTATGTCTGGATAGCAGAAAAAAAATTGTATTTGATACACAGTATAATAGGTCTCTTCGAGCTAGAATACAAATTCCTTAAAAACACTTTTTAAATATATAGTTACATCTTATAGAGATTATTAGCATTCATGTGTCATATACTACCAGGTGTGGTATTTATGCAGTGAAATCTTATGAGTTACACATGACTTAAACCCTGCAGAGGTTAGATAACTTCAAATAAACAACACAGACACAACAGCTGATATGCTTTTATCTTTTGTTGCTGAATATTTCTCTGTTAGCTTGTGCTCCAAGTTGCTTCATAACCTGAATGTCATATTTTTTTAAATAACTATGATACTTTCTTATTGAACCACTAATAACTGATAAGTCCCAGAGAAAAATTATTTAATACTTGACATGCTACCTCAAAATATCCTATATTTTTACTATGAACCTTATTTTAGATCAGTCTTGCAGCCTAGTTTAATTCAGATATGACTTCTGTCTTTCACTGTGCCATTTGGGAAATGTATAAGTATGATAACCTGAAAGTTAGATAAAAAATATATAAAATTATTCAGATCTCCATATATGATTTAGGTGTCCTTGTAAGGTTTACTTTAAATTCTTTCCTTTAGGTTTACTTAAAGAATTAATAGTACTTTACAATATTGAGGACAAAAGAAAGGTTGCTAATGAAAGGTGGCCATCCAACCCACCTAGCACATTTGGAAGTTAGTAGTTAATGGATACATGGATCCCGTCCAGCTTTTTTCCTGAAATACTGGCTTCAACAACATGCCTGGGTTTGTTTTAGGCAAAATTACATCATTTTATTGCACACAAGTGCAACTGGTAAATCAGATTAATTTTACAGAAAAACTAATATGAATAGATAAGTGTGAGTCTGATAAATGATCTGCTTACAAAATTAGTGAAATGTATAAATACTTTTAAAACAATGAAATCTTTCTTTATGAGGTGTAAAATATTATGCACTTTTGATCACAAAACTAGACAGTGAATTAGCTGTACTAGTTTTAACAGCACCTTTATATGCATGGAAGGATTCAAATTTGACTTCAAACTCCTACCACATACTGTAGCTATTACTTTAGTGATAAAGTTTCTAGATTGTTTTTACATGAATCAAGTATGTACTGTATACAGCAAAAATCTGAGACTAGTTATTTTTTCTGTGTGGCTGCATTCTATCCTGTCACTTTGATTTATCCAAACTGGCATGGGACATTTTCTAGCTAGCAGGGTACAAGCATGTCTGCACGAATTTTAATTATAGTTCAGCTTGTAGGCATAATATATTATGATAATGTTGAATCATTTATTAATACTGATTAAATGTCACTTTCATCTACATGGGAATCACATCCACAAGGTTGAATAACTGTTTGTTCCCTCTATATGTCAATCATTTGTCAGAAACATCACTAACTTATCAATTGCTGAACTATTGGGAACTTTAATAAGAAAAGCAGCTTTGGTGTGTGGGGGCTTTCCTTTTTTTTCCAGATGCAGGCCTGGATACAAATTAAAAGTAAAATGTTAAATAAATTCAAATTAGGTTTTACATTTTACATTTACACCCATCCTCCATTTCAGTTAGCCCATATTAACATCAAGTCAATTTTTCAACCCCTTACCAGCTACTGTATCTAATCTGTTCAAAAGCTGATGTGCAACACCAGTTTCACCTGTTTTCCAGACTGACATTTCTCAATGTTGTTTTTGTATCTTAGTGATTACGGGTTTGAGCGTCGTGGAGATGGAAAGTGCTCTCCTGCCTTTTGGTTTAACCCTACTGCAGTATCAAGAAGCTGTAGCCATGGGCAGAGCTATCTTAACAGCACTGGGTAAATACTGAAGAATCGGCATTGAAAACTGGAATGTGTTCCTTTTTCTCCATAGTCAGATGTCTTAATGCTATTACAAAGGCTTACTGTACATTGCCCCCCATGAAAGTGTGGTGATTGGCCTTTTTAAAGTTACTGGATATGTAGCCTACAGTCAACATCATAGATGCGTTTCTTTGAAAGCACATAATATAAGGCACTGTAATCATGTTTGATTTCTTTGATTTCATAATGATACTAAAGGGTTTCCGTAAATCATTTCCTGTTCTGAACTTGTATCAGGTTGGCCTCATTATCACCGCAATAGTCTGATTTACTGGGATTCACTACTGTATATATTTAATTTACATCATCTAAAAATGGGAGGAGTGGTGGCCAACTTAAACAGTACCATTCAAGACAGTATGAAGTTGGAACTAGATTCCCACCTTCTTGAGAGTCCACCTAATTCTTTGTTTTGCTGTGTCCTAAATGAAGGTCTGTATTGTTTAATTGAACTTGAGTTTTCCTGCAAAAGTAATAATAATACACATAAGAATACAAAGTGTACAGTATGTTTCAATAGGTACTTTCTAAGCAGGCTTAGTCCCTTTTGCTGTTCGTTATTAATAAATGAGGAAAGTGCTGTAACAAATCATGTATATTTTTCTTTTAAATGATTTTTTAATTACATTATCTGTTTAGCTGGAGGACTTAAATAGGGATCTCATCTACTTAGCAGGGAACAATTTAATATTATGATTTTGAATTCATTTTATTTTTTCATTTCTTTATTAAAAGATTTTAATTTTAAACCTTCAACAGCTACATGTTACGATATGTATATATATAAAAATGGGTGAGAGATGCATGTCGCTTTGTTGATCTTCTGAGTCACTCATCCAACATTATTGCAAAAGGGAGAAGAAGAAGAAGTCTGATGCTCACATTTTGTATTTCTTAGCGGGTGTCTTAATCCATCACAGGCAAACTGTTAGCTTTTATCCAGAACAAAACTAATTGAAAATTAGGTGCTCATCTGTCTTGTATAGTTAGCAGGTTTAGACGGACACTTGAAATAAAATGCTTCAGTTTAAAAGGCTATTGTTAAAGTACAGTATAAAGGTGTGGCCTATGCATCTGAAATACAGATTCTTCACAAGTGGATTAAAAATTAAATTCAGCTTTCCAGTTAGTCAAATTGAAGAATGATAATATTTGTAAGAGTTCCCTGGCTGTATATCCCAAATACTTTCAAGCCCACCCCCTCCCTTCCATGCTTATAATATTTAAAGCAATACTGGGCAACATAAAATAAGTCAACCTGCTTCTCATAACAACCCCAAAACAAACAACATTTCAGAAAACATAAATAACTTGGATGCCTGAAAGGCTCTCTTGCATAAAGAAATTAGATATTCATTATTTTTTTGCCACTAAGGCTTTTCTGACAGGGCTTCATGTGGACTGCCATTTTTATAAAGTACGTATTTGCCGCACGTATGTGTACTTCAAGAAGACCAGAGAAGACATGTATTTAATGCTTCCACTGACAATTAACAGTTTTTCGGGACATTTTAAAAATGTATACCATGAGGAACTATTCATAGATGTAAACACTATATCCCTTTGCAGATTTCATTAAGAGATTTTCCTTGTGTTTTTGTGGTATTTTTGACTGTTTGACAGCTACCGTAAGGTGGTGTCCAATAACTGCACTGCTGGGGTAAAGGAGCTGTACACAGCCAGGAGGCAGCAGTGTCCTAATCGGCCTCCTAGGGGCCTCCATCTCGTCACCAGTGAAGGAAAGCTGACAGCCACCCTGAGTACCAACGTCACTTTCCTCATCTTTCTGGAAGATGTGAGTCAATCATTAAATCATACTGATATACTGTACTTGTCATTAATTTAAAGGCCAGCTTCTTTCAGTAACTGAACATCTCACTGGCACAACATGGTGCATTGTGGGCTCTCTTCAATACTATGAAATCCATCAGTGTACTTACGTATCATGTGGATGGGGTCAGCTGCTCTGTTTGAAAGCCTGTGTTCTGTTTTGGATACAGTCCTGAGAAAACAGATAGGGATATGAAGGTAAATTGCAAGACCCTGTACACTTCACATGCAGGTTATGTGACTTCAGTTTCTGTGAAAATTAGACAGTAATTTATTTTCTTATGTCATTCATAAACATCTGTTATTTTTAGTTCTCTAGACTAGTGTCACGGACGTCCAAAGGGAGAAACCGTGGGGAGCAGGAGAGCGGAAAAAGACCCATATGCGTAGCGGCGAGACGGGAAAAAGGCCCGGGCTCATAGTACAAAGAGTTCAGGATTGCCGTATAGAAACCTATGCCCTCAGGGAGCGGACGTGGGGCGCCCTAGGCGGGTCTCAGGACATCCGAACGTCAATGCTGAGCGAGGACAGAGTGCAAGACCCGGAAGTATATAGCCCAAGGGAAAGAGAGGGACAGGAAGGACAGCAGACTGGAAACTAGGGACAGGACAGAGAAGGAGCGCCCTCTGGCTGCAGAGGCTGCATAAAGCCTTATGTACCCCAACCTCCCTAAAATGTCAGAGGGAAATAGATGTGTCAGCATGAAGGCAGTCCAGACACCCAAATGGAGCTGTTTAAATTGCCCTGCCTTGCAGAATGATTAGAGTGAGACCGTGTCTCAGCCCTGTTGTTAAATAAAGATGCTGAATATTGCTAGGGCATGCTGCTCCCAGATGGTGTTATACTAGTCTACATTAAAGTCAGAGGAATCTATTAAATTGATATTACAATACCACCCAGACAGCAGTCTTTCAGCAAGTGAGACGTAAGTGTTCTCTCTTGGGGTCTTTCTTGTGACACAGTCGTCATATCACAGCATGATAAGTTGAAGAATTGAAACCCATTTCTGTTTTAAAGAGAAGAATTCCATGATATGAAAAGGTATGGAGGCTGGAGCTAGCATCCTCATACAGTACCAAGAGTCTTCTTCATTTATAAATTCTCTAGCTGAATTCAGCTTTAATTTATATTCATGAAGCCCGCAAGAGTGGAATTTCTTGGTCTGAGCTAATGGTCCTAAATATTTAATGCACAGTACAAACTGGCATGGCAATTTTAGAGAATTTCCCTCCATTTGATTAGAAAGTTAAGACCAAGGTTATGCTATCTAATAATTTTTAATACTCCGCAAAGGAGATAAATGAAGCAAGATGGATTGATTATGCAACTGTTTTAATACCTGAATTTTTTTTTTTTACTATAGGACTTTTACAGATGTTTATGTAGAGTGTTTATTCATTGAACACTCGATTGTCACGCATGAAGATTCTGAATGTTCAGGGATTCGGACAAAAAAAAAGTCTGCACTTACATAATTTATACTAAACGTCAAGTATGATTCAACACAAAAAAGGCAGCCTATTTGCCTGAAGCAGAAGAGAAAATGTGTTTTAAATTGTCAAATGGCAGTTACATTTCTGACTATGCAGTGCTCAAGAGGAAGGAAGTTGCATGTGACAGAGGTGCAGATTATTTTCAGTTTGACAATAGAAAGAATAATTCCATGAAGGCAGATTAAAAGGCAGATTTTTGACCATACAGAACAAAAAAGACTTCAACATGTGTGTATTAAATGCAGCTTGGGTTGATATTTTTTCTGCACGTCACAAAATGTACAAATTGACTATGTTATGATAGAAGTATGCTTGATACTTTGTGAAAACTGAAGTTATAATGTGTGAGATAAGTGTAAAAAACCTTTAGCAATACAAAATAACAGCTGCATAAGTAGGGTCTATTCAAACTTATTAAAGGATGTGTGGGCATTGTGCGGGAATCCAAGTCCAGACCATCACTGAAAACTCAATACTGTGAGATACTCAATACATGAGCCAGACTCTGAGGTAGAAGAGCCCCGCCTAGCTGTACACTGGTGTATTCTGCTGGAGACACCATGCTCGGGTAGGGTAACCCTGGGGTCATCTCTGTTATAAGGAGATTAACAATCCCTTGATGCCTCTTGAAGAAGAAAAAAAACTGAACAGAAAAACCACAGCATAATCCCAATAACTTTACACCCTGGGGCATGAATTGTGTATTTCTTATTTTTCCTAATTGATTCTTTCTTTACCTCCTTTTTTTAGAACCAAGTTTTAATTTCCTGAGCAGAATGGCATGAAAATGTCTCAAAGTCACCCACAGCATTCATGCATATTTTTATGGTCTATGGTGCTTGAAAAGAGGGCTCAAAATAAATATTTGCATTTGATATGATGCATTACAGCCTTTGCTTGTGTTACAAATTAATATCCCAATTGCATTGTGTTACAGTGTGCTGGAGGGAGAGTAAGGATTTGTGAGATGGTTCAGATAAGCAGGGATTCAGGGATTTGGAAGCTGAAGCAGCTGTAGCCACCAACACTTCCTCTAACTTTAAGCTTGCTGAGTGGCAGACGTAGCCTCGAGGGAGCCTGCAAATAGCACAGATCCATTGATTCATTAACAGAGACAGATTTAGTATCATAAAAGTGCAACCTGTAAGGTTTCTACTATATATCTTTATATATGTATATTCAAATGTGTGAATTTGAACATCTTTTCTACAAAATAAGTTTTTATACCTAAGTGGACTGTAGCGCATCTGCAGGGAGTTCTATCTAAAAAATAAGATGATAATCCCTGCAGATTTTATAGTATACAATGTGCGACAAGCCCTTTTTTATATGCATGTGTATACATGTAATAAATATAGGGTAATATTTACATGTACAATATGTTTGAAAATCACAAATATTATGCTCTTGATGTCTTTCATTTTTCACACAATTTACTAGAAAAACAATACCCATGATATTTCAAGGAAATGGAAATATATTTTTGGGGGCCTCAGATAAATCAAAAGTCAATCATGCAACTTGAAGGTTTCATGATCTCAAACAAAAACAGAACACGAGAACTTTGCAGAACAAATCAAACGGAGAGTAAAGGTTGATGTACAGTAAATGCCACTGTAAAGAGGGCCTGTGTTTGTGAATAAATAGTTTTCAGAAATTGATGAATATTAAACGTGTCCTCCCCTTTTGAATCAAAATCACAGTGGACTTGGAATAAGATCTAATATTGATCAAGAACTGCTTTTGTTTAAAATGGGTCACTATTAAGTGCTGGAATCAGAGCCAAGTGGTGTCATTGCAACCTTCAGTCCCTTGAGTGGCTTCATTGTTACTGACCTGAAGTCAGATCTCTAGATCATTGTGGAGGAAGCTATCAGGGAGACCCAAGGCTTTGGAAGTAGTTCTTAGTGTTATGCACTGGGTTTTCTGGTCACTTCAAAACTAGAAAGCTGCAGCTTCACCATCGTCATTCGATACTCTGTTCCTTGGACTTTTTTTTCCATGCAAGAGGGAGCAAGGTTAAAAAACTTCAGAGTCTGTTGCAGTTTGGACATGCATGTCCAAATAAAATGTATGGACCTACTGTACATAGTTAATCTGGCCTGTGACACTAAGGTTCCACTGTTCCGGCTTTTCCATCTCATGCAGTGCAGTACTTGTGCAGTTCTGACCTTTGGATGTTTGGAGTTGGATGTAGCATGGCTGATGCTGGATGATTTTCGACTCAATGTCTGTTGTGTATTTTTGTTATGAGACTGTACACAATGGCGCAGTGGTTACTATTGCTGCCTCACAGACCTTGGGCACAGGGTTCCCAAGGACATACTGGTGGGTTAATTGGCTTCAGGGCAAATTAACCCTCATGTGAGTATGTACATGTTTGTGTCTTTGTATGCCCTGCAATGGGTTTTCTATCCAGAGTACAGTACTGTATGTCCTGTCTTGGACCTGTTGCTTGCCAGGATAGGCTCCAGCTCCTCGGCAATCCTTGGATAAAAAATTGGATACAGTAATGCAACGGAAAACTGCACTCACTCAACAGGGAAGTCTTCAAGGTGGATAAGGAACCTCTATATATACAAACTAATTTTTGATTAATTTGTGAAAATAAAATCATAGGTGAGAGGTTATAATTTCACTGTTACTGCCTCTGTAGGAACCACAACTTTGTTGAGCATCTCGTCAGAAAAAAAATACACACTATTAAGAAATATACCACCAAGTAAAATAATACAAAATAGCTATATCTTTCTCACAAACTAATAAAAAATCAAAAAGATGTCAACATTAACTGCATTTCAATAAAGAAAATGTGTTTTTCTTTCTTAGTCTGGATGATGGATTTTAGAATTCTTTGACATTTACAATGCACATAAAATGCATGTACAATCCTGAATTGCTTTCTTTGTGCTTCTGACAATAACATAATTTTGAGTTTGTTTCATATGGAAACCCTGGTGGTAAAATTGCAGTTTAAAAATTGCTCTATTTTACAAGCAGAGAACTTAGAATCAGATCCGTCTCAAGTTTTGAAAAACTCTGATACAAGATACATTATAAAACCTCTCTCCAGTTGTCAGCAGCACCAGATTCAGAATAACAAGGTGCCATTTGAAATTCAATCAGTGTGTATTTGTATCTAGAAGACATGACCCCTCAATGCATTGCTAAGACTTTACCTTAAATGAATGTCTTACTGGTCCACAGGGTGACTCCATGAGAATAAACATCCAGCTGGATTTCGGAGATGGCATTGCTGTGTCCTACTCTAATCTCAGCTTGATTGAGGATGGCATCAAACACGTCTACAAGACTGCTGGGATATACCGAGTGACTGCTCTTGCCGAAAACAGCCTGGGGTTTGATAGCACAACCCTCTACTTACACGTAACCTGTACGTAAATATAGATTGTTGCCTGTCTTTAAAACCTTTTCTACTAAGAGGGCTCATGTACATATTTTTCATCTAAATATTGATATTTTTAAAATACATATTGTAAAAATTTCTCTATGTGCATATTACTACAGTTTAGAGCATATACCCATTAAATATTTCAGTGTGCAGCCATAAGATCTTTACTTCAATGATAAACTACAGCATAAACATTCACAAGATGTTAATTAGCTAAATTTTAATAATTGTGTCTATCTGCTTTGAACATTCATATATATATATATGATTAACATTTTAATATCCCACTGTGACTTAACTATTACTAACCAATCCTGGAACAAAATTTATAGTCACTGAAATCCAAACAGCAAAAGCCTATTTGATTTTCTTATAATTTTATATTGATTAATTAATTAACATCATTGTTACATTAAATGATAGGTACTGGTTGGATCAAAAAGCTGTTACATGTAATAAGCAGTTGGGAAATACTTAAGAAACTTCAAACTTCAAAGTCTAACACTTTTCCTGTATAAAATGTTTTGAACTCCAAGCAATAAAAAAGTGCTTCTTTTCTTTTTACTTAAGCAAATAAGCACTCTGCTGTGGCCCTTTCTAGCAAATAAAGAGTGTCTGCACTTGGGAAATACTGTTGATTTTCTATAACATTACATTGTGAAAATGAACTGTGTAGTTTATTATTGTGTGTGGAGTCTGTGTACTTCAAGTGACTGTACAAGTTAAATATAAGAACACAATGACAATGCAGAGTGCACATACTATATGAAGAACAATTAAAGATGTTTTAATTTTTATGGACTTAAATATAGAAATTTGGATAAGTTACATTTGAATGTGGAACAGATTGTGCACCTCGACTTGATATGATGTTTTTCAGAAAGTAGATGTTTCCAGTTAGAAAGCAAATGATTTGAAAATTATTTTGTAAGTAAACTAAACCAGTTGTTGCCAGGCTCTGTACAGGAAGCACTATGTCACACACATTGATGATTCCCTCACTGTACATTTAAAGCGCAGAATAGATGAGCTTAGTGGAATCTCAGACATCCTTTTTTTGCCAAAAGCCTGGATAAAGCTTAGTTCCAGCAAAATAGGATGAACAATTGAAAGAAACACAGCGCTCGGATTCCAGGCTTGTATTTTTCATTCCAAGCAGTGTGAGGTTTTTTTACTGACATGTTCTATTTGAGTTGTGTTCTTTGTACCTTAGTCATGTATCCAAAACTTTGAAAAGCCCCTAAAGGGTGAAGAAAATGTAGAAGTTAATTAAAGCTGAGTATCCGCAAAGTTCACCTAAGTGTAGCTTAATTGCAAGTGAAGCCAAACACCCAATAAGAGGACTTTGTGTTAAATCTTTATTCTGGTATCATGTTCTCTTGAATGTTAAAAGCTAAAAGGCTGCCTATATTATGCTCTCAGGAAATTTAAGACCAAGCAGACAAATAATGACAAGTAATTTCAACACTTCTTTCCAACATATGTACCCCCAAAAAGGTTATAGTGATAATTTCATTTGTAAGCAAAATTGATATTATAATACTGCATCGTTTTAATGTGCATCGAAGTGCCATTTATATTTAAATAATTTTCATTTTCATGGATATCTAGGTCCAATTGAGCATGTGCATCTCTCTGCTCCATTTGTGGCTATAAAGAACAAGGAAGTTAACCTCACTGCTGTTGTGTGGCCAAGTCATTCAAGAACAATCACTTACTTCTGGTGGTTTGGGAACAGCACTGAGGTAAGTTGGTTTATGCCTTAACTGTCTGTTCTGCCTCAATTTGAATAGTAAAATGCTGAATTACCACCCATATATCATATTTTTATATCTTTCCAACATATCCAATAACGACAATTTGTAGGGAAAATGTTATCAGTATCTTGGTTTAGTTTCTTAGTTTATTTTGTGGTTATCTGTTAGATAACAGCTTTTGATAAATCATCAGTCCATAGTTGCAAAATATATGTATATATTAATTTTCTCTATACTAGCCTTTGATAACCTTGGAGGGAAGCATCTCATATACTTTTTCCAAAGAAGGAATGAACACTGTTACAGTGCAGGTCTCTTCTGGCAATACCATACTACAAGACACAAAGACAATAGCAGTCCATGGTGAGTACTTCTTATTTTCTTAGGATTTTAAGTGTATAAGCACTATTTAAATACATATTTTATTTCAGCACCATTATCATTTTAATTTGCAGTTTATGTCTTTATTTCAAAATCTTATACAAGGGTTTTGGCTTTTAACTTATGAATGCGTAGCTTTCCATATCAGACATGTCAAAAATGTGTATCTCAGTGGCTATGAAGAAGTTTATAAATTACTGTCTAAAAGCAGTAGTTTTCTTTGTCACATTTTTCAAATAGTACATTACCTCAGAATCAAATACAGTTTATCAGGCTAGCTATTGCAGCTAAATAGGTAGCAGGATATATACCAATTTATTTAGACCATAAAATTATTATTAATTTCTGAATGAGTATAATGTGATTAATATATAGCTACACATATAACTTTACACTGTCATAGATATTCTCTGAACTGAATAGTATTTTTGTATTGTTCAATGAATTCTTAAGAAACACACAGCAGCCACATACTGTAGCTTAGCCTAGCAAACACATCACCAAACATGTAGATAAAGGAAAACTGAATAAGAAAGATTTAACTATGAACTGGTTGATGTGCTGTAAAATTCTAAAAATACAAGAAGACATCTGTTATTTATTTAAGCAAGTAGCAAGCCCACAGTCTACAAAACTTTCATGTACGCCACATACATTTTAACAAAAAAATGTAATTTAAATTGTAGGAAATTTAGCTCTCCTTTGTTTTTTACTTCTAATTTAATGTTGCAATATCATCACAATAAAATAAGAAAGAAGGCTACTGTTGCCAAACTGGTTTTAGCCTTATAAAATGTATATAATACTCAGTCAGAACCACATGTCTAATTTATGTCTCCAAATAGTTTTAACATACAGCTCAATGTTACACCTTTAAAGTTCATTTTGCTGATCTGAATCAGCTGATTAGTCAGTTACCTTGTGTCCACCCATGTAGTCTTTGGTTGAATCATCAGTGATTGTAGCTGCCTATTATATCACTGTGCATTATAATGAAGAAATTCTGTTATATATGGATATTTTCTGTAATCATTTTTACGTAGAATTTAGTACTAAGCATACAGTGCCTTGCGAAAGTATTCGGCCCCCTTGAACTTTTCAACCTTTTGCCACATTTCAGGCTTCAAACATAAAGATATAATTTTTTTATTTTATGTGAAGAATCACCAACAAGTGGGACACAATTGTGAAGTGAAACAAAATCTATTGGATTTTTGAAACTTTTTTAACTAATAAAAAAATGAAAAGTGGGGCGTG